ATTCTGATAGATGTAAGATGGTATCTCAGAGTTGTTTTGATTTGCATTTCCCTGATGACTAAGGATGTTGAGCAATTCCTTAAATGTCTTTCAGCCATTTGAGATTCTTCTGTTGAGAATTCTCTGTTAAGCTCTGTAGCCCATTTTTTTAAAATTGGATTGTTCAGTATTTTGATGTCTAGCTTTTTGAGTTCTTTATATATTTTAGAGATCAGCCCTCTGTCAGATGTGGGGTTAGTGAAGATCTTTTCCCATTCTGTAGGCTATCATTTATTGACCATGTCCTTTGCTCTACAAAAGCTTCTTAGTTTCAGGAGGTCCCATTTACTAATGTTGCTCTCAGTGTCTGTGCTACTGGTGTTATATTTAGGAAGTGGTCTCCTGTGCTGATGTGTTCAAGACTACTTCCTACTTTCTCTTCTATCAAGTTCAGTGCAACTGGATTTATGTTGAGGTCTTTTATCCCCCTTTTGTGCATGGTGACAGATATGGATCTATTTGCAATCTTCTGCATGTTGACATCCAGTTATGCCAGCACCATTTGTTGAAGATGCTTTCTTTTTTCCATGGTACAGTTTTGGCTTTGTTGAAAAATCGTATGTTCATAGGCATGAGGATTAATGTCAGGGCCTTCAATTTGATTCCATTGGTCCACTTGCTGGTTTTTGTGCCAGTACCAAGCTGTTTTTATTACTATAGCTTTATAGTAGATCTTGAGGTCAGGGATTGTGATGCCTCCAGAAATTGCTTTATTGTACAGGATTCTTTTAGCTATCCTAGGGTTTTTTTTTCTATATAAAGTTAAGTATTGTTCTTTCCAAGTCTGTGAAGAATTATGTTGGGATTTCTTAAGAAAGAAAAATAATAAAATTGGACCTTGAAAAGAAAAAGAGACCAGCGTTATTAAGGCAAAGTCTTCTGGGAAGTGTTTCTTCAGGGTCAGTACATAGAAGCTGTGTTCCAGAAGTTGCTACTTCCTGTTAGCAACCGAACTTGGTAGTTTAAAGGTCACCCAGGTTGTACTGGTTCTGAAAGACTGAAGGGGGTCATGGAGAGAAGCTGAGGCTTAGCACTATGAGAGGCCAGGGAGGCCATTGATGAAGGTGCAGCCTAGGTAGCTGTTGAAGTCCCAGGATTGAAGGGGTCTTGCAGAGAACTTGAGGCTTGGCACCATGAAGAGAGGCTAGCAGAGGCTAGTGAAAGTGCAACCCATTTGGAGATACCAGTACCATGGGGAGGCCACTAAAAAAAGCAGTATTTGTAGTCCCTGTTTCATTAAAATTTTGTTTTATATTTTGTGGTTTAAAAAACTTAAAATATAATTATGTCACTTCTCCTTCCCTCTTCTCCCTCCAACTCCTCCCATGCTGCCCTCACCCCTTTTCAAACCATGGTGCCAACCCTCAAATTTATCTATAACCCCTTCAGTCCTGAAGGTTCCATTATGTTTGAGGCTGAAACTTCATCAATGTACTTTGTTGTCCTCACTTCTAGGACTCCCCTTCTGCCATACAGTGCCAAGCCTCAGATGCTACCATGAACGCCTTCATGCCTTTAAAATAATATCACTTTGGTGACTTCTACCTACATTATGAAGTTCAATTGCCTTGGCCTCTGTAATTGGAAGATTTCCCATGTCCCGCCTGGCCCAAATCTCTCAACAACAGTCCCATAGCCTTTTATAAAGAGTAATCACACAGAGGCTTAATATTATTTATAACTGCTCGGCCATTAGCTCAGGCTTATTTCTGACTATCTCTTACACTTACATTAACCCATAATTCTTATTTATGTTTAGCCACATGGCTTGGTACCTTTTCTCAATTCTGCCTTGTCATCTAGCTTCCTCTGTGTCTGGCTGGTGACTCCTGACTCAGCCCTTCCTCTTCCCAGAATTCTCCTTGTCTGCTTGCCCCACCTATACTTCCTGCCTGGCTACTGGACAGTCAGTGTTTCATTTATCAACCAATCAGAGCAACACATATTCACAGCATACAGAATGACGTCTCACAGCAGGCCTCCTCTGGACCACAGTTTTTGTGTCCTGACCCTGAGGAAATAGTTCCATATTTATAATCTTCAATGATGATGGTCTCAATTAATTCTAATATCTCAGCTCCAGCTAACAATATCAGTTGTTCCAGGAAGGCAAATATCTTACTTCACTGGCACTAGTCTCTCATTAATTACTGCTGATTCTTCAGCTCCAGCTGACCAGACACCATAGATTCTTGTTTCAAATAATGAAATGGCCCCAGTAAGGTCTTTAAGGTACTCTCAGAACTTCCCTCTCAACTTCAAAGTCTAGTCCTCTATCTTCTGCACCACTATCAATGGTCTTATCTTCCAAACTCTCACAGAATAATCAACTGAGTACTGATCACTCAATGGCATTTCCATTCCAAAGTTCAAATGCCACCACAATCTTCCTAAAGTACATGGTCAGGTCTGACATAAAACTATCTCATGACTTGATACCAAATTTCTATCTCAGTTAGGCTTTATTTCTGTGATAAAAACCATTACCAAAAGGAACTTAGGGAGGAAATAAATTATTTCAGTTTACAACTCCCAGGTCATACTCCATTGATGAGGGAAATCAGGGCAGGAACTCAAGCAGGGCAGGAGCATGAATGCAGGAATTGATACAGAGGCCATTGTAGAGTACTGCTTCCTGGCTTGCTCATATAGCTAGTTTTCTTATAGCACTGAGGACTAGCAGCCCAGAAGTGGCCCCACCCAGAGTGATCTGGGCTCATATCAATTATCAGTCAAGAAATTACACCACAGCCTTGTCCATAGTCCAATTTGGTTTGGTCATTTTCTTTTTCATTTGGGATTCCCTTTTCCCAACTAACTCTAACTTGCGTCAAGCTGACATAAAGCTAGCCAGCACAGTTGCCTCCTAGAAGTTCAAGTTAAGACCATATTGTTGAAGTCATGATGTATTTCAGACAGAGGACTGGGTAGATTTAAGCTTGATTTGACCTGAAAGCCTCTGCCTTCGGAGACCATCTTTCATAGTACTATGAAAGTACATAGAAGATGCTATGCAGTCTGCTAAGGGAGGGACACAGCCAATAGTCCTACACAGCTGTGCTGTATATAAAAAAACAACAATGACCATCATGACAAGATACTCCTAAAGGTACAATAGTAACACTCATACATTGGTGGTAACAGGCAGCTATCTAATTGGACTAAAGTCCTTTTCAATAGGAAGGATATCATGCCTGGTCCTGGAAAGCTAGCCAACTACCAGGAGCTAGTGAAGTCATGGATGTTAGGAGAGAATCTACTACTTCCATGTTATCAAAATATTATCACTCCTATTGTATTCTAAACACTGATCCTTATATCCACAAGTAAGTTGTAGCAGGAATCTTAACAAGTTCTTATTAATAAGATCAAACCCAGACCAGGTATTGGGGTGAAGCTGGAAGATCAGAGAGACAGAACAAGCCACAGATAACCTCACCTGGCCAACTTCTCAGCTGGTCTTGTTTCCTCAGACTGGAAGCCTCTGTGTCCTCATATCCAAATGGCTCTTGGCTGAACTGTGTTGCTAAAGGCTTAACCAGCCAAATGCTTCTAGTTTCTCGTCCTCATGCCTTATATACCTTTCTGCTTTCTACCACCACTCCCTGGGATTAAAGGCTTGCTTTCTGGGATTAAAGGCGTGAGTTACCATGCTTGGCTATATCCTTGAACACAAGTATTTCTGCCTCTAGAATGCTAGGATTAAAGGCGTGTGCTACCACTGCCTATCCTCTATGTTTAATATTGTGGCTGTTCTGTCTCTGACCCCAGATAAGTTTATTAGGGTGCACAATATTTCAGGGAACACAATACCACCACAGTAAGTGCAAAGAAGCTTCTCTTTGCAGCAAGCAGAGACCATTGTAGAAAGCCACAAGAGGTCAAAATGTAGAACATCTGACCAGGGGGTTTCTATCATCAATGGATAAATCTCACATACCTAAGGATCAGAGAGCATGGACAAGGGGATTGAAAGGTTGTAAAAGCCAGAGGACCAGGATTTCAAAGTAGTTTTAAATTGCATTTCCTTGCTGGTGAAGGATGTTAAACTCTTAAAATATTTGTTGGCCATCTGTATTTCTCCTTTGGAGAACTGTCTCTTAAGTTCATTGGCATATTTATCAACAAGCAGTTTTGAAGGTTTTTTGGTGCTTAATTTGGGCAGTCCTTTATATTTATAGATATCAAACTTCTGTCTGACATATAGCTAGCAAAGGCATTCTCCCATTCTATAGGCTATCTGTTCACTTTCTGATAGGCTCTTTGCTATGTAGAAACATTTTAATATTCTATAACCACATTTTTCAATTCCTGGGAATATTTTCTGTTCTATTGCGCTTCTGTTCCAAAAGTTTTGCTTATACTGATATTTTGAAGTATTTTCCCTAGTCATTTCAGTATTTTAAATTTTAAATTAAGGTATTTGATCGACTCTGAGCTGACTTTTATGCAGGGTAAAAGACACAGATCTAATTTAATTTTTTGTTAGTAGTTATCTAACTTTGCCAGCACCTCTTATTCAGCATGCTATATTTTTCCCAGTGCACAGTTTTACAACTTTGTCCAAAACCTGTACAAGTTTATTTCTGTATCCTCTATTAGGTTCTATTGGTCTACAAGTATGTTTTGGTTCTAGTACCATGCTATCTTTGTCATTATGGTTTAGTAACGTAGCCTGTGGTCAGGTGGTAAGGCCAGGTACACAGGAAAAGATCCACAGTTAATTCCTAGGTGCCATTTCAGTTGAGAAGCACTGTTCTCTAGACAGGAACCATCCCCCAAATCACTGTAGAGTTCACCACTACTCTGATTGGTGTGTCAGGTTCTTTGGTTCCCAGAAACCAGCGTAGAGTGGCCTGTGGGTGGAAGCTTCTAAAAAACCACTGGGGAACAGTTGAATATCTGAGCCTAAGAGAGAACATGCATTCTCACTTCCTCAGTCTTCTTGCTTGAGTTTCCTGTTGTCACGGCGTGATCATTTTTTTTCTCTCTCTTTACTTCTCCTTTTACACAAATAGACCCAGACTTCTGTGTTAGCAGCCTGTGTTGGACACCTTAAAGATAATCAGCGAATTCCACCTGAAGTATTGAGGGACATTGCCTACAAAAGGTAAGACTTATGACTTTTAACATCTCTGAACCAGCTAAGGCGGGGCATGACATTTTAAGAGTATCCATACATCTCTCTAGTAACTTTAAATTTTCTTATTTCACAAATATTTGGATGATCAGTTTCCTCAGGCAATCAGGCTAGACATACTTTGATTTACTTTGTTATCTGATATCTCTCCGGGCCTGAGCACTCATGAGCATACATCACTACAGCACTGAATTGCTTACTGTGTATGGTGGTTTCTGATGGTTATAGTTTTCTATGTGAGATGAGGTGAAATGGGGGAGATCTTCTATATTGTTTGTTCTTTAAAATCAAAACTTGAGTTTAGAGAGAGAAGTAATAGCCAGAGCGATCTAGAACAGTAGCCAGGAGATTTTATAAGGGAAGTTAGTGCTCTAATCATCATGCTTTGGTATAAGATGGGTTAAAAAAAGAAGAAGAAACCTCAACACAGTAGGTGCCCTGTAACTGTACTTTATGATTTTATTCCTAGATACTCCCTAAGGATGCTTAGTTTGGGGGGCTTTCAAAGAGCAATGCAAACGTTGTGATCTGAAGGGCTTCTTTCTCCACATTAACTGATCCTTAATATATGAAGCATGAACATTGACAAATCTCATATAAAGTGCTCTGCTGAGAGGAAACACACAATTTGATACAGCAGTAGTTTCCAACTCATGGACCAAAACTAATTTTAGGCTGCAAGTATTCAGCAGAGTGATACTCAAGCTTTTGTCCTAACTTTCTGAGTCAATACAAAATGTCTCCATCAGGTCTTTCTTGATCAAAGAACTGTGAGAAGCTCCTTTGATTATGATCTAAAGGAGAGAAGAAAGTCCCTTGTGACCAAATTTACTCACCAAAAAAATCAAGTGACAGGATGGGGACATAGCTGCAGTTTACCAATGTGTCCCTCAGAGGTGACTAAACTTTATAATTAGAAATAATGACCAGCTTTTGAGAACTAAGTTAACAATCAGGGGTTAGACACCCTGTGAAGTCTGACACTGCTTTGGCAGGAACTGTGGATAAGGAGGGGAAACGAGGGAGGAGGGATGATTTGTCCAGTAATCGTTCTGTCCTTAAGGGACTCTTCTGGGCAATCGTACAGAGGAGAAGACTGAGCCAAAAAAGAATCGTATCTGCTGGGTGAGCAAAGTTTTGCTTTCTCAATCTTAAAACGGAATCTTCACTGTTTTGAAACTGGTTGACTAGGAGCAGATGCTGAACTGAAATGTGGTTTCCTGTGTGGGCCAGTTAAGATTATTTCTCTTTTAAACACAATGTTCTCTTACCTTTATGGCCACAGGAAGTGATCTGAAGTCCAGGCTACCACCGTTACCTTACTACCACTGAAAGGATATCAGCTTTGTTTGTTAACAAGAGGCAAGGCTAGAAAGGAAAAACTCTGTTGTTTTCTTAGCTTCTTATGCCCTCTGGTTAGCCTCGGACTGGCCAGAAACCCTCAAACTACTGCTTTCCTTCTCCTTTCCCTCCTATCCTGCAATGTCCCAGTGGCCACGCATTGTGCTGAGGTGCTGAAAATATGAGGATAACTGATGTGGTTGTCAATCCCCAAAAGACTACCATGGAGGGAAGACAGATGGGTACACAGAACACAATACAATGTGCCCTTTTCTACAAGGCAGAGAGAATATACACAAAATACAGGTGTTTAAGAGTCTGTCAAAGACTCCTTGAGAGTGGAAACTGTTATGAATTTATTATAGAGACTGGGATTATTAACATTACAGCTACAAAACACTGAATATGCACTCAAAGAAGTATTGCTCCCCCACTTCCTGTCATAGGCATGATAGAAATGAAATTAAGCAAGAGATATTGGTCACATGACCACAGGAAGCACCAAACCCTTTCTCCTACTTGGCAATTGAAAGTAGATAGCAAATTTACTGAACAGACAAGCCTTGGGTCTGTTTCAGGGCAGAGCTATGCCTGAGACTTAGCTACAACAATTTTGATAGAATGTGGCTTTAAATTGGGGCACAGAGGCAGATTTCTTCCTCTTTAACCTGGATGTTTCCCTTGACCAGAAGGAAGGGTAGAGATTTTTGCCAAGTTATAGCCATTCTTTTTTCTTCAGTTTCACTCCAACAACTAGTGTGTTGATTTAGTTATAGTGGCTTGCGTTCATATTGGCTTTTTCACATATTGGCTTGTGTTCATTGTCAGCCCACAGCACTTCTTTAAGATGCTTTTCAAGAAGCATCCACTGTGTAGGTCGCTCAGTGCACTAGGCATCTGCCCTTGGGATGTTATCAGGACTAGCTACCACTTAGGTGTAGATGTTGAAACAAAAGAATCTGTAGAAACCAGACACCTGTCTAGATCTGGTCTCCAAGGTTGCTGATGTTGGGCAGGAGGGCAGTTGGGTACTTGGATTGTAAAGACTGTCTGGACAAAGATTTTGAGAAAGAAGAAAATATGCACTTCCAAAGCCAGTAGGTAAGAGCTCAAATATAAGTCATTAATCTCTATGTTGGGGTAGAGAAAAAAAATCTTCTCTACTGATTATCCATTTTTACCAAGTAGAAAAGTAGTATGTTTTGCTACAAAGTTCTTCATGGTTTTAACATAATAAAGAGGACATGATGTCTATTGGGTGGACTGTGTGAGAGCTCTGGATAACTGCTCCTAGTTTAAGTAATAGCCTTATTATAAAGATCTCTACCCCATGGTAGAGTCTAGTAACATCTTTCTGAACTCTCAAGTGGGAGGAAATAATCCTCCACTATCATTTGGATTCATTTCCCTCCACTTATTTCATTTTCTTTTTCTCTTCTTTATTGTCTCTTTCATGATTTTTTTCTTACAAAAGGCAAACAAAACTTTTAAAGAAGTATTCCCAACAAATGAGGGTAAATGTTATTAAAACCTTTCCAGCCCCTAGTATATTTCACTCCTGGGACCTCTCCCGAGCTCAGGGCCACTCTCGACAATGACTTGGTCTTCACTCAGCACTCACTGAAGCTCTGGCACTAAACCATTCAAGAAATTCTATCATATTGACTCCTTAGGACAACCATGAGGGCAGTATTAATAGCCCTGTTTAAAGATGAGGAAACTGGAAGTTTGATAGCTTAAGGAAGTTGTTCAAGGCTGTAATTATGATAAGTGCAGTACTGAGACTTAAACTAAACCTGATCTAAAGTTTTGTTTATCTAAACATGATCTGTATGCTTTGAACTCAGTGAGTCATCTTCACCAAGTTACACTGCTCACATCTGGTTTTTCCATGCCTGGAAGCAATTGCAGATCACTGATAACTTGTAGTCTGACTCTGCTTGAGCCTACCTGCAGAGCAGCAACTCCACCGAAGCTCTGTGCTTTGCTGAAGTGGACATCAGGCTGACATGCAGGCCCAAGTCTTAATGTATCTGTGAAACATAACAAGAGATATGCTCTCCCATCAAGGTCTGCCTGTCTTGAGTTGATATGTGCTAGCCTGTCCATAAATAGATCTGTCCAGACTAAATGGACTTCAATGTAATGACACAAGTGTTATGAATAAGGAATTTTCAGTATAAGAAAATTGTGCAGTTTTGTAAGTATACTTTTCTCTTACAGACCCATATGTGCACCTTTTAATAAACTTGTTGTAAGTTTATTAAGAGGTGCACATACAAGCCAATCCTTTTTTGTTTTCTAAATTATTTCTTTTACCTTTTGAGATTATAATTATATCATTTCCCTCCCCAGAAGCCCTCCTGTATACACCTCATAGTTCTTTTTCAAATTCATGGACTCTTTTGTATAGCATGAATCTTAAAAGTTCTTATTAATAAAATCAAACCCAAGGCCAGTTATTGGGATCAATACTAGTAGATCAGAGAGACAGAACAAGCCACAGCTACCTCACCTTGCCAGATCCTCAGCTGGTCTTGTCTCCTCAAACTGGAGGCCTCTGAGTCCTCATCCAGAATGGGTCTCAGTTGAATTACTGCTCAAAAGCCTGAATGCTTAACCAGCCCAATGTTTTTGTTTCTGGTCCTTCTGCCTTATATACCTTTCTGCTTTCTACCACCACTCCTTGGGATTAAAGGCTTGCTTTCTGCGATTAAAGGCGTGAGTCACCATGCTTGGCTGTATCCTTGAACACATGGATTTCTGCCTCTGGAATGCTAAGATTAAAGGCATGTGTTACCACTGCCTATCCTTTATGTTTAATATTGTGGCTGCTCTGTCTCTGACCCCAGATAAGTTTATTAGCATGCACAATATTTGGGGGAATACAATACCACACTTTTGTCATTAGTTATTGTCACACCACACACACATTGCTGTATACATAATTACAGCCTATTCCGTCTATATAATGTTACTTACATGTATGTTTTTGGAACTGACCATTTAGTATTTGATAACCAATTGGTGTGCTCTTCTCTAGAGAAGATTATTTCTCCCATCTTCTGCATCCTTTAGTTGCCCATAGTCTGGGTTTTGAGGCCTTGTGGGCTTCCCCCCAGTCCACACTAGAATGTCTATTGTTGTTGTCTTTGTTCAACTCATGTTTAGGTAGTCATGTAGGTGAGACTTTATGTGTGTAGCTTCCAGCATTCCTGGGAGACACAACAAACTATCTGGTCTTCTTGCTCTTACAGTCTTTCTGCCCCCTGCTCTGTAATGATCCCTGAGCCTTAATTATGGGAGCTATAGTCATTGGAACTGGGCTCCAGAACTCCTCATTTTGATGGGTTGTGGTTTTCTGTAATAGCTTTTGTCTGTTGAAAACAGAAATTTTATTGATGTGGACTGAGGACTACACTTACCTGTAAGTGTAAGGATAAACATTTAGAATGTAGTTGGATAAACATTTAGAATGTAGTTAGCCACTTATGCTGGCTTAATAAAGTGGTAGTTATAGATTCTCCTCCAGGATCTGCAACTTCACTAGTCCTGGGTAGTTGGCTAAGTTTCTGGTATTTCTTCTTGTTGGGTAGGTCTTAAGTACAATTATAGACATGTTAGTAACC